AATAATTATTATTGTATAATAAAATGTAATAGGTTTAAAGTGTTAAAAACATTATAAAACCCTTAAATATTGATGTATGAAAAAATTGACTTATACCACTTTCTAAAATAACGGCTCATATAAAGAATATTATCTAAGTTAAACGAGATGTAACTGTAGGATTTTGGAACTGGTTAAATGCAACGTTTAATGATATAACAAGTGTACGTTTTATTCCCTCTGCGATCATTTACAGCAAGTGATGGGTTAATTCGTTAACGCACCTGCCCAGACCAGAGCAGACGATTTCGGAAACTGTGGAAAACTCAATTAAAAAAGAAGAAGTTATAATAATGATACGAAACAACACCCTGAGCACATTTCGCCTCTGCGGACCTCGCGCCTCCGTAATACGAATATAATGGTCGGTAGTCCCAACGTTCCGGCTTATTAGGGCAGTGTTAAAAATACGTAATCATCGTCGGGCACCCATCAAGAAAAGACCCACCACCACCATCGCTCGTGTCTCAGGTATAGAACGAAACCATCGCAAAAAAAATAAATAAGAGAATTCTCTGTCCAGTGGAGAACCCAGAAAAAAAAAGGAAGAACTAGTATGGATGGAACACGCAGTATATTTCAGAAATCCGATAGCAATCTATGAATTTTATGGTCGTTTAGGGGACTTGACATCATCGTTACCAACATCCATCAGTCAGTTTATACCAGAACTAAAAGGAAGAAGACAAAAAAAAATGGATGTAAGAAATGCCACGAAAGATAAGATGAGGAGAGGATGGAAAAAAAATATATCTATAATGTTGACGGCAAAAGGAAAAGGTGACCACACAGAGGGGGTATCTAATCGATGTTGAGCGATCGTTCACAGCCACGGCTCGAAGCCGAGACGCAATTAAACCTGGGGTTATTAATAATTGTTGTATGTAATTACTAACACCTAGGTCAGGTGGTTGGTTGGTTGGTAACCCGCAGACTTTTTTTTCTTTTTGGAGCCTTCTTCGAATAATTAATATTTATTAATTAAACGTTTTAATGGTTTCAACGATTACCTTCATTTATAACTTTGAAGTTTGTTATATTTTTATTTCAATAATCTAAGATTCGAGTCTTTACAACAGTAGTTGAAAAACATTGCTTTAATTTAATGTATTCACATATTTGTTTATAGAGTGATACAAGGTGACAGCTGTCAATTTGCGATCCATAAGTTGAAAAAAAAATGATATAACCTATTTCAGTTAATTTAACAATTAATTTAGAATTAAATTTGTAAAGTACTTAAAAATATTACAACTATTTTTATTTGAGACTCAAGATATTTGTTTACACAGCTGTCATTTCGCAATTTAATTGCTAAGAGTATTTCTCCAGTTCCATACTTTGACACAAGGTGACAGCTGTCATTTTATGATCCATTGATAATAAAATTTAGATAGATAAATAATAATAATTCGATTTTAGAATTTATTTAGAATTAAAATTGTGAAGTGCTTACTATTTTGGTTTGTGACACAACATATTTGTTTGTAGTTCTGCAGAGACAGCTGTCATTTCGCGACCAAATTTCTAAGAGTATTTTACCTTGATTTGACTTAAGGTGAAAACTGTCATTTTGCGATCTATAAATTGAAAAAAACTTATATAACCTATTACAATTAATTTAACCTTGATATAACGTAAGGTGAAAACTGTCATTTTGCGATCTATAAATTGAGAAAAACTTATATAACCTATTACAATTAATTTAGAATTAAATTTGTAAAGTGCTTAGAAATATCACAACTATTTTGATTTGAGACTCAACATATTTATATGCAGTTATACAGTGACAGCTGTCATTTCACAACTGAATTACTAAGAGTATTTCACCAGTTCCATACTTTGACACAAGGTTGCAGCTGTCATTTTATGATGCATTGAGAAACACTGATACAACATGTTACAATATACGCAAAATGCGAGCTTCAGTTAATAAAATTTAGATAGATAAATGATAATAATTAGATTTTAGAATTTATTTCGAATTGAAATTGTGAAGTGCTTACTATTTTGATTTGTGACACAACATATTTGTTTGTAGTTCTACAGTTACACAAGGTGACAGATGTCATTTCGCGACCAAATTGTTTTACCAGTTCCTTGTTTTACAACACAAGGTGACAGCTGTCATTTCGCGACCAAATTGCTAAGAGTATTTCACCTTGCTTTGACATAAGGTGAAAACTGTCATTTTGCGATCTATAAATTGAGAAAAACTGATATAACCTATTACAATTAATTTAACAATTAATTTAGAATTTAATTTGTAAAGCGCTTAAAAATATCACAACTATTTTGATTTGAGACTCAACATATTTATTTGCAGTTATACAGTGACAGCTGTCATTTTGCAACAGAATTGCTAAGAGTATTTCACCAGTTCCATACTTTGACACAAGGTGACAGCTGTTATTTTATGATGCATTGAGAAACACTGATACAACCTGTTACAATATACGCAAAAAGCGAGCTTCATTTAATAAAATTTAAATAGATAAATGATAATAATTAGATTTTAGAATTTAATTAGAGTTGAAATTGTGAAGTGCTTACTATGTTGATTTGTGACACAACATATTTGTTTGTAGTTCTGCAGTGACACAAAGTGACAGCTGTCATTTCGCGACCAAATTTCTAAAAGTATTTCACATTACTTTGACATAAGGCGAAAACTGTCATTTTACGATCTATAAATTGAGAAAAACTTATATAACCTATTATAATTAATTTAACAATTAATTTAGAATTTATTTTGTAAAGAGCTTAGAAATATCACAATTATTTTGATTTACGACTCAACATATTTGTTTGCAGTTATATAGTGACAGCTGTCATTTCGCTACCAAATTGCTAAGATTATTTCACCAGTTCTTTGTTTTTCGACATAAGATGACAGCTGTCATTTTGCAACCCATAGATTGAGAAACACTTTTATAACTAATTACAGTATATGCAAAATGCGCGTATAAATTCATTTACTGCTTTGATGTGTTCATCCATCTTCTATGGATTAAAAAAATATTGAAATACTTACAACTCAATTCATTAATTAAAAATGAAATGTTAATCAATTTGATAACAAAATAATTTAATTACAACCAATTAATTAGTATATTCAAACAATACCGATTGAATTTTATTTTGCATAATAAATACAATATGTGAATAGATATGATAATAACTTTCCATCTCGAGTTGTGAAAGTTACTATCGAGAGGAAAAAAGCTTATAATCAATATATATATTGTTATTGTTATTATTGGTAAGAGGGTCTGGTTAATGAAGGACACGCGTCCAGTAAATTGATGTTCATTAAGTTTAGTCGGTCAGTAACTGTACGAAGGCCGTTCAGTCAGTTATACGACGGCGGAGATGTCGTCGTCGTCTTCTTTGCGGTCTTCCACGTCTCATTATATGCTAAGTGGATGGATCTTAGCCTGTGTGCAAGCAATAATCGTACACTCGGATGGATCTTTTTCTCTCTCTCTGTTTCACTCTTTCTTCCGTGAAAACGGACAAACAGACAAGAAAGAGTTTCGAAACGAGAGGCGCCATCCGCCAACCAATTAAACGAAACATTGATTCAATTAAATTTCAATGTTCATTTAAATTTCCAGAAATTAAAACGTTTTATATCACCGATGTTTGAATACTCTTTCAAAACAAAAAAAAAAGAAAGGAAGTATTTAAAATTAAGTATTCGATAATTAAGAGGCATATTTATTGGTAGCTATTAATGAATTAAAAAAAACACGTTTTTTTAAATTATATATTTTCAATCTCTTTATAATTAAATAATTTTTAAAATCTGTTTGAAATAATTAAACAATTTTATTATCATTAAAACAATTCAAAATAAAAAATTAAAGAAAAATATAAATATGATGATCATAGTTGGCTAATATATTGGAATGACATATTAATATCTGACAGTTAACAGACTTATATAACACGAGTTACAGGTATGTTCTAAATTAATTAAATATTTTGTTATAACTCTATTTTTCTGTTCTCTTTACAAATTTATCAACACTCATGGAATTGCTGTAAATCAATTCAGATTAAAATAGAAGATAGATATAATTTATTGTATAAAATGGAAACTCCATGTATATTGAGGATCATAGTTGGCTGGTAGGTTGAAATGACAGTTGACATTCTTATATAACAATACAAAACGATCCATAATTGAACTGATCTGTAAGTATTCAATAAAATAGGACTTTTTACGACAGCTGTCATTTTACAACCCATAGATTGAGAAACACTTTTATAACTTATTACAATATATGCGAAATGCGCGTATAAATTCATTTACTGCTTTGATGTCTTCAGAAATCTTCTATAATAATTAAAAATGAAATGTTAATCAATTTGATAACAAAATAATTTAATTACAATTAACCAATTAATTAGTATCTTCAAACAACACCGATTGAATTTTATTTTGCATAATAAATACAATATGTGAAAAGATATGATAATAACTTTCCATCTCGAGTTGTCAAAGTTACTATCGAGAGAAAAAAAGCTTATAATCAATATATATTTTGTTATAAGTCTATTTTTTTGTTCCATTTACAAATTTGTCAACACTCATGGAATTGCTCTAAATCAATTCAGATTAAAATAGAAGAAAGATAAAATTTATTGTATAAAATCGAGACTCCATGTATATTGAGGATCATAGTTGGCTGGTAGATTGAAATGACAGTTAACATTCTTATATAACAATACAAAACTTTCAAACTTTTGATCCATAATTGAACTGATCTGTAAGTATTCAATAAAATAGGACCTTAATCCATTTTAACATTCCGGTTTTTGATGTAAGTTATATTAGTTCTTGTTGCATTACAGTATTAAGTTAAATTGCTGTATGTTGGGTTACAGGTACGAGTTTAATTGGTATCAAAACAGGAAAATGATGCTAAAATGTTTGTCGGTTGGGTGATGGTTATGAGGATGTCGGTGATGATAATCGGACAATGTGAGACCAGAGTGAACCCCGCGTGTGCAAATAGGAGTGCCTGGATGTGCGCGCGCCCACGTATTGATCCTGCGGAGGATCCTGAGGGAGGCAGTGTCCCAGCATCCTGCGAGGATGTTCGGCGTTCGGAAAATGTGGTGGAAGCAATGCGCCAGGTCCTAGGAATCCTGCGGAAACCGATGCAAGAAGAGCGGATAGAAGAGGAGAATCGCATCAGGAAAAAAAACGAGGAGAACCGGTGTGTTTTGCGTTCATCCATACATGTGATAATTAAGTGATAGAATGTTGTGGCGCCGCTTGATCCGCTTCTTGCTCTTCTTCTGTTCGACGACCATACACGTTTCGCTATCGAATCCTGACGCGAAGAGGCTCTACGACGATCTGCTCAGCAATTACAACCGTCTAATCAGACCGGTCAGCAATAACACGGACACCGTTCTCGTTAAGCTAGGTCTCAGATTGTCGCAGCTCATCGAACTGGTGAGTTAGCAAGATGATGATGTAGAAGGGGGGCGGGGTATTCACATTTGATGATGATTATCCTTTAAAATGCATTTCAATTATTCAATGATCATCAAAAATGAGCTTGGAACGAATCACGGACTGACTTTTAATCGATTTCACTCTTGTTGCAGAATTTGAAGGACCAAATTTTGACGACCAACGTTTGGCTCGAGCACGTAAGCGTCTTCCTCTCCTGCGTGCCAATGCCTACACAAAAATGATGACCGTGGTATGTTTTTTTTTTCTTTCATGGTTCAACCCAGGAATGGACGGATCACAAGTTCATGTGGGATCCCCAGGAGTACGGAGGTGTCACGGAACTCTACGTGCCTTCCGAGCACATTTGGTTACCTGACATCGTCCTATACAACAAGTAACTTAGACACAAACACACTGATTCTATTTTTTTTAATCAATTTCAAAACAAAAATTCCGACATTCCTCAAACGACATTCCTTCTTATAGTTTTTTTTTTTCTTCAATTCGCTGTTTTTGTAGGTCGCACGCGGTCCTCCGGCCTTGCTCTTTTACGTGCGCAAATTATAAGCAAAATTTAATTACTACACGTGTATTATTAACCGAACCTCAAGCGCTCGATAACAATATTATTATTGTATCGTTTCGTAACTGTTTCTTTTAATCCAGAAGCGAAATTTTAAATAAATTGCAAGATTATAATGTTGCTTTTAAAATGCTCTCATTAAGTTTTCAAATTATAAGTTTAATACGTTCAGTAATGCAAAATTTAATGATACAATGTTTGTGTGTTCAGTGCTGATGGAGAATATGTAGTAACAACAATGACTAAAGCTGTATTAAGGCACACTGGGAAAGTGTTGTGGACGCCTCCGGCGATTTTCAAGTCATCGTGCGAGATTGATGTCAGATACTTTCCGTTCGATCAGCAGACGTGTTTCATGAAGTTCGGTTCTTGGACGTACGATGGAAATCAGGTATTTTTTTTTTAGGATTAAACAATAATAATGTAATACTACGGTTTTTTTTTGATTGCAGATTGATCTTAAGCACATTAATCAAAAAGTAGGAGAGGATAAGGTAGAGGTAGGCATAGATTTAAGGGAATATTACCCGAGCGTGGAATGGGACATCCTAGGTGTTCCGGCGGAAAGACACGAGAAGTACTACCCCTGTTGCGCTGAACCATACCCAGGTTAAAAAATTAGATTTAGTTTAATAACGTTTATGATGTTAATTGTAATTGCAGATATATTCTTCAATATAACCTTAAGACGCAAGACTCTGTTCTACACGGTCAATTTGATAGTTCCCTGCGTAGGAATCTCGTATTTGTCTGTGCTGGTCTTCTACCTTCCCGCAGATTCCGGCGAGAAGATCGCCCTCTGCATCAACATCCTCCTATCGCAGACGATGTTCTTCTTGCTGATATCGGAGATCATACCATCCACGTCGTTGGCGCTTCCGCTTCTCGGAAAGTACATTCTATTCACGATGGTTCTAGTAGGATTATCAGTAGTGATCACAATCATAATACTCAACGTGCATTACCGTAAACCGAGCACGCACAAAATGGCGCCGTGGGTGCGGAACTTCTTCATCAAGAGCGTTCCCAAACTTCTCCTGATGAGGGTCCCTAAAGATCTGCTCACCGAATTGGCGGCCAACAAAATCAATACCTCTTCCGGAAGGATGATGATGGCCAAACGCGAGATGGACACGCTTCCATCCACAGCATCTTCATCCTCCTCCTCATCAAGTTCTTCACGAAATCGACCGGGTTGCAACGGTCTGCACACGACAAGCGCAACAAATAGGTGAATCAACAACAACAACTTTAATCATGGAGTCTAAGTTTGTATTTTTAGATTGCGCGGTTTTGCTGGTGCCCTAGGCGGTAGGTTAGGTTACAACGGATTACCATCGGTCTTCTCAGGTTTGGATGAGAGCGATTCCGGTACGCGCAAGAAGTACCCGTTCGAGCTGGAGAAGGCCATACACAACGTAATGTTCATACAGCACCACATCCAAAGGCAAGATCAATTCAACGCTGTAAGTCCGCTGAAAGCAAACCGAACTCATTCTATTGAATCACGACTGAAAAAGCATCAATTAATTATTTTTTTTTTTTTGTACGAATATCAATTTTTTTTTGGTCATAGTCATTTTGTGTGGTTTTGTTTCTGTTTCCATGCAGGAAGACCAAGACTGGGGTTTCGTTGCGATGGTCTTAGATAGGCTCTTCCTCTGGATGTTTATTGTAGCGTCGTTAGTTGGCACTTTCGCAATATTGTGCGAAGCGCCCGCACTTTACGACGATACAGAACCTATCGACATGGAACTGTCGTCCGTCGCTCAGCAACAGTATCTACCGGAATTTGACTTGATCTAACTACTACCAGTTTATACCCTCTCTATACTCTAATTACTATTATTTCATATTTATTTTTTTTTTGTTTTAAATTCTTTGATCGAAGCATCAAAGTATTCATTCATGAATCATTCGATCAGCGATCAGCTGTTCATCGTCGTTGCTGATCTACCTTTGTTTTCGTTTCGTTCTTGTAGGAAGATCAGGATTGGGGCTTCGTTGCCATGGTTCTAGACAGGCTGTTCCTCTGGATGTTCATTATCGCCTCGCTGGTTGGCACTTTTGCCATACTTTGCGAGGCGCCAGCCCTTTACGACGACACCAAACCCATCGACATGATGCTTTCTCTGGTTGCCCAACAGCAATATCTACCAGACTAATAATAACAACAACAAAAACTCAAATAAAACAACACACAGTTAACAACAACAACACCAAGATTCCTTGTTATACATATATATTATACCGTAGCATTAATATGTAATACGACAATTCAACAATTTAAAAAAAATATATAAATCAATTAACCCCACATCATTTTAATTAAATCCCCCACACACAAAACACAATTAATTCCATTCAAGTAACTTTTCATGTAGTTAATAACAGGGACTTTAAATTGCATGTCATAAACCGAAAGGATACAGTTTTTCCTCTATGCTTCATTCACTCTCTCCGGGGTTATTAAGCATCATCGGTTAGGGGAGTTAGATACATAATAAGCAGTGATCCGTCGCATCAGATTTTTAGCAGATTCATCATGTAACGGTTATTAGTAGTTACAATAATTCCATATCTGTACGCACGCATTCTACCTGGGTATTAAATGGAACATGCACTCTCATCCCAATCCGATGCACCACCCTTTAACGTTTTCCCCATATTATAATTGATAACATGAAGAAGAAAATACAAAGTTCCCCATTTACTTTACACCTGAATAATTACAAATTCAATTCCCTCTGTCCGAAAATAAGAGTCCCATTTTGGGGATTCAAGGATATTAAAAAAAAAATCACAATGCAAATTGTGAAAACTTTACTTTGCTTACATAATTACTTAATTTATTCATTTAACGCAATTTTTTGGTCATTGTTTCTTGTAAACATTTTAAAGACTTGATCCTTTTTTTTATATTTTCTTTTCCTAGTAATTAATAATTTCAAATGGCTTTATTATTTTCAATAATGATGCAAATAAAATCACAAATAAATAATTATCAAATTTTCTATGATTATACGAATTCAAACTGCAATTTGTGATGTAAATTACATAATTATTTAATTTAGTATAAAAATAATAAAATTCAAGTTGATTTTTTTTTTGTTGCCAAATAATAATTTAATTGCAAGATTTTAGAAACGTTTAAATTATACGGTCGTGTGGTAAACTGCAATTTAATGCATCTAGGAGGTTTTTTTTATTTTGGGTCTATAATTTCGGTAAATTTGAAGATGCTTTTAATGTAAGAACACTAATTTTATGTAAACCCATCCATAATAATAGTGTTTAATTTACAATATTCATGAATCACAAATAGAAACGATAGTTGTTGCTGTTGTTGTTTTTATTGTTGTTCTTCTGGTTTTGATTAGCATAAATTCGTGTTCTAGACCGAAATGATGGTGAAAAACGAAGAATTTTTTTTGTGGATGCTGAAGCCTCCGGAGTAATCTGGCTTCGCCATCGGATAAGGATCTTTCGCATTTATTTATTTATTTTTTTATGCATTTCGTGCTTTTGGAGTCTGGGGTCTGGGTCATTTCGAATTTATTTTTTTATTTATTTTGTGGAGGCAGAAACGTGACGCGTCTATTGAAAGGATCCTCGCGTTGACCCACTGGCCTGGGCCCGCCCAGCTTGATCCTTGCTAATCGCCTATAAGAGAAGAAGAAGAAGAAGAAGGAGTCAACTCCATTCACTTCGAGCTCGAGAAATCCACACACACACACAATCATTACTCAGACAAATTGTCTAACAGGGTGGACGGATGAAAGGACGGATTATCCTCGGTCAGAAAGTTACTGACGTTTCGCATCGAAAATATATAATAGATGCCAATCTGTGAAAAGGACTAGAGATGAGACGATAAGAAAATCTCAAGTGCGTTTTGTCTCCTTCGACGTAGACAAGATTTCTTCTAATTGCACATCAACTTGTAGCTGGACGTGGTCTATATCGAAATCCCAACAACAGAAATCCCGACAATTAAATTCCCGACAATATCAAAATCCCGACAGAATCCTTATTTAAATTTGTCAATGCGACATATTTATTTACAGTCATATTTATATGGAAACCGCGCTATAAGAAACTCGGATTTAACCATAAAAACCAGGCTAATTCGTAGCGTGTTCTATTGAAACCGTCTACCGCGTTGTATGGAAACCGCGCTATAAGAAACTCGGAATTAGTACAAATCACATCATTTGTACCGCGTTATATGGAGACCAATAAATACAAAAGACAAGATAAATTATAAATTATTTTTCTTGAATTGAATTGAAGAGTTCATATAAGGATTGATAATAATAATAAAACAAGAACTAAACTAAAAAACTGTTTTTCAACAAAACTAATAAAGTCTTTTGTAAAATTATGTAATCTTTCAACACTCATCAGATATGAGTCGCCTAACTCATCTTCTTTTAATGGGCAAAATGTCTTCATCACTTAGTTCATCTTCACATTGGTTTTCGATTGTAGCTTTTTTTCTAACTCTACTAAAACCTCTCTATAGGGAGCTAAGCAATTTCTTAACTCTCTTTTAAACTTTTCGCTGCGCACCGTTGAACGATCAGTTTGAATGAAATGAAGTTCTAATTCTTTAACCCAATTAAGCCCTTTTTCACATCTTGTAAATCGAGATTTGGCACCAATTCGTTTTCCTTATTTTCGAATTTGAGGTGGATGCATCAATTAATTCCATCAGTTCTTCCTCATCTAAAGTTTCTTCCCCGAGTACTAGTTCTCTTACATCCTGATGGTTTACTGCAAATTCGTCATCGCTTAAACGAGAAGCAATGTTTACTATTTCTGTAACTGGGAGTAAAATTGTAGAATCATCTTGTATTGCTTGAATCATTTGAGGTAAAAGAGGTTTCCAGCACGAATTAAGCGTTGATGGTTTAATTTCCGCGCAAGCCGATGACACGGCTCTAATTTTCACAGTTTTCTAATCTGTCGAAAATGGTTTGGAAAAGTTGGCGTGTGTAGTACATTTTTAAAGTTTGAATGACTCCTTAGTTCAAAGGTTGTATTAATGACGTGCAGTTAGAAAGAAGGAAGACAATTTTCACATTTGGATGATCCAGTTACAATATCTAGTTAGTAGAGTCATTCATAGGCAGCGCGGAAGGACCTTATGGGATGCTGTTGAACGGAAACCGCGCTGTAAGAGTACCGCGTTATCGCAATTTCAGCTTCGCGTTATATGGAAACCGCGTTCTGAGAGTACCGCGTTGTAGGTGGGTTGACTGTATATAATTTGGTTATAAATTCGAGCGTAGAATTGTTGAAATGATCTATAATAAACATACAGTTATGAATTGAAAACAACTCCTCCCGGTTTCTCTCCTTCACCAATAAATATCCACGCGCACAAATTTCATGACTACCTTTTTGTGATGGAATGTGACATTTTTGCAAATCTTAATGAGTCAAAGGGTCAATTAACTACATAGTTTTAACTTAGTGTTAGTATAATTTTATTTTTTTTTATCACGTAGTAAGTAATAACGCTAATTTTTAAATTCATTTGTCTATATCAAATAATAAAAAATACTGTCGGGATTAGAGATTTTAATTGTCCGGTTGTTGGGATTTTGATCTGCACCGCTTCTGGGACTCGCTTTGACTCCGTGTATTCAATTAATCCGTCCTGCAGAAGAGAAGATTGGACTAATTACATGTGTGATTGGGTGGTCCAGTTGGTTTGCTGTACGCATAATAACTATTGTTAGACGGTGGCTCAGGTGGAGTTCAGAGATGGAGGAGAAAGAGTCCATCCAGTCCAGTACGCGTTTTCGGTTTGCTTATAAAATTGCTGGTTTCCATTCAACCAAATATTAAGCGGACGACCACACACGATTTGCGGATGAAGTTATTTCAGGTAGGTCCACTGCGCCCGGATAGCCAGACCACAACGAAGGAGGAAAGGAAGAACTCTTCGTCTCTCTTCTGTCGCTCTCCTTCTATACACATATTTTTTTTTTGTCTTTTTCAACGTATAAAAAAAATATATGTGTGGAAGCCTTCTTTGCCTTATACACACACACACAAATTCTGGACCCACCAAAACGCTGCTCCGTCTGCACACACACACATATTTCTTTCCACTAAATTGCCTCCCTTTGTTACAACTTAATTATTCGCCGGCAATTTAATTAACGGACGACCAAATCTAATTGATTGCTCCTTTCGTTATTGTATAACACGTGAAGCAATTAAAATATCTAAGATGTATAGGTGAAATCTTTATTAGTTGGATAAAAAAATACAAATGATTTATAAAGTAATTTAAAACATGAAATATTACGATTTGCGATTAAGTTCTAATGAATATGAACATTTTTTTTTTACTTTTATTGATTTTAGTGTTAGTTTTTTTTTACTAGTATAAAAGTATACGTTTTAAATGACATCAAATCACTTAATTTTCTTAATATGATTAAATTGAAATCAGGTAAACTTGTAGCAAAATCTATTAAAAAAAGGGTGGATTTTTCTTAAAGATTTAGTATTTAAATTAATTAATATGTAGATATATTTTTTGAAATATTGCAGAAATATATTCTGAAGTTTTCTATGTACAAGACAATAACAAATTTACTTTTGTTGTAAATTTTCTTGAAATTTTGTAAAAATAAAATGTGGACTTTTGTCAAACATTTTGAATAGATTTAGCTTCAATTTAATTTCATATTTAGAATTGTTTTTTGAACTATTGCAAAAGTATATTTTTGTGTTTTCTATTTACAAGAAATTGCATTAATTTATAACATTTTGAAAATAAAGCAAAGTATTTTTTACCAAGAAATATATTCTGAAGTTTTCTATATAAAAGAAAATAACAAATTTACTTTTGTTGTAAATTTGAAAAAATAAAATGTGGACTTTCGTCAAACATTTGACTACATTTAGCTTCAATTTTAATCCATATTTAGAATTGTTTTTTGAACTATTGCAAAAGTGTATTTTTGTGTTTTCTATTTACAAGAAATTTCATTAATTTATAATATTTTGAATATAAACCAAAGTAATTTTTACCATGAAATAATACGATATGAAAATATGTAGGATTCTATTAAATTTAGGGTAATAATACTTAATATTTATATGTTTTTTATTATGTTATAGAAGTACACTTTTTTAGTTTACAAATCCAATCATTAATTTATATAATTTTCGTAAATTGATTTTAAACGTTTTTTTAATTTACTTTTGTAGTTGAGATTCTGATACAGTCGGGATTATGGTTGTCGAGATTTTGATATAGTCGGGATTTCTAACGTCAGAATTTCGATACAGTCGGGATTTCAATAGACGGTCTTTCGGTTGTCCGCTTGCGATATGGACCCCATTTTAATTCATATTTAGAGTTGTTTTTTTTAACAATTATAAAGGTATATTTGTGTGTTATCTATTTAAAATACGTTTTTTACAGTGTTTCTAAAGTAAAGAAATAATTATTCTCTTAAATTTCAGCTATAATTAATTTAAAATTTTGAAAACTAAAACTTTGATGTACTAAAAATAACTGTGTAAATACTGAATTTAGATAAGTTTCTAAGTTGTTTCGATTCTCTTTTTTCCTGTAAAAAAATAATTGTAATTCATGAAAACTTTGTTTTTTATTGACTTAATTAAAAATATCATTGAAAAATTTGTTTCATAAAATTTATCTGTATTTTTGAAAAAGTATCTTAATTCTTAAGATTTTTTCACGATTATCTAAATGTATGTTTCAATTTCATCACTAGACGGTTTTCTACGGTTCTTCTCATCATTTCTTCTTTAAGCTCCAGCGGCAAACCGTTTTGTATTCACTATTTGCTTTCCTACTAACACTTGATCTTCCCTTGTTTAGTTTCATTTTTTTTTTCTTTCTTTCTTAATTTTATCTTTTCTTCGTTCATTCTTTCATCTCTCCTCCTACGTCGTGCACATCCGGTCCCGTATTTCAACTTTAATTAAACGCTCAATATGCAGAGCATGCACTCTGAATGCATTTAGTGCACTTAGCGAGAGAGACAACACAAACACACAAACACTGAGTATCATCTTAAGCCCAGATTTCCAGATCCCTTTCACCCATAGAGCGAAGGCAACCCCATTTAAGGGCTGATATCCATCCCATTCATCCTTTGCCTTCCCCTTTCTTTCTTCCAACAGTCGAATATGTAAATCGCACAGCCAACTGCACATAATTTATTCACGCAGTCACATGATTTGTCAATATTAAAAGCGAATCATTAATCGGTTTTTCTTCTTTATTTATTTACTTTTTTTCCCTTTAATTCATATGCAAATTATCAATTAATCGCCAATCGACTCTTCTATACGCGCATTAGGGGATGACAGTTGAGGCTATAAATAATTTGTCAATTACTACTTAATTTTATGCAGTCTTCCATTATGTGTCTATATCGAAATCACGACAATCAAATTACCGATAATATCAAAATCCTCTATTATATATTATTATTATTATGTGATGATTTCGGTTGTCGGAATTTTCATTTCTCTTTTGAATTTGGCGCGTTTATGACTACCGCAATACAAACGCGTAGGCGCTCGTTTGTTTATTCATTTATTTATTTATTTTCATACTGTACGACGACTTTTATAGATCCGGCACGAAGCGTATAAATCTCGCGCAGCGCAATTTCGCATCTCGAATTATGTAAATGAAAATGTGCGCACGTTACACACCGTTTAATCACCTTTTCTGCGACTCGGCATGTGCCGAAATTAATTATCTAATCGCTCCGAACATACAATCGTTCGCATTGTTCCTTATTATATATTACTGATTTTTTTTCTGTATTATTCACTTCAGTCGTTTTCCAACATTGTTCTCCTTCCTGGCACATGTCTGTCTATTTGCGTGTGTTTTGTGTGTGTGTGCGTAGAAACATCGATGTTTAATTTTCCCAGGGAGGACCGCGAGCGTTGCGTAACCGCACCTTGTGTATATTTTCGGTTTCGTTCGTTCGTTTTCCCAAAACGATAACATTGTTTAAACAATGAGCGAGAAAGCGCGCGCGTCTCGGGAGATTAAGATTATCTCTTGTCGTTTCCTTTGATTTGCTGCCAATACTAAAAATAGTCACCAACTGAATTATTGCCTTCGGGTGTATTAACAAACAAGCGCGTGCCAGAAGTGGAGGATGGAAGGTGTGTTCGAGCCTCCTCTCACCGCTGCTGCAATCCAATACTCTCACAAATATATTTGTTCACCAACATCATTCATTTTAATTGAGACAACAAAAGAAACCATACAAATATTCTTGATGTAAATCAATCAAATCTTTGCTTACTTTTTCATCCTCATGACTTTATGAGAAAATATTAGATTTTTAACAGCTTTGATAGTTTAAATAAATATAACAGCTACAAATTTGGAAATAATTACAAATGAATGCCAGTATATTTGACTTTGAATTGAGTAATGAAATAAAACGCGAAGAAATTGCATTTTTGGAAAATTATAAAAATTTTAAAAGTTTTTCAATTTTAACAACTTATTACTCAAAACCTGTGATAGCTACGAAATTGACTATAAATACAAATGAAAGCTTGTATATTTGACTTTGAATTGAGTATCAATTCTAATAATTGACATAAGTTACTGTCGAGTAATACGATAAAATGTGAAGACATTGCATTTTTGGAAAATTTGACAAAATGTTTATCAATTATGACAGATTATTATTCATAAACAGAAATAGCTACAAATATGAAAATAAACACAGATTAAAGCCTATATATTTGACATTTAATTGAATATTCATTCTTTCAATGAAACGTGAAAACATTGCATTTTTTGATAAATTCATTTTTTTTTCAATTTTGACAGCTTATTATTTATAATTTACAATTATTTATTTACAAATATGTAAAGAATCACAGAATAATGCCTATATATTTGACATTAAATTGAATAGTTATTTATATAATTGATATCTGCTGTTATCAAGTAATATAATAAAACGTGAAGACATTGCAATTTTAGAGAATTGAAAAAAATGTTCTTCGATTTTGACAGCTTATTATTCGAAATCGTTAATAGTTACACAGGTGAAAATAAACACAAATTATAGTCTATATATTAGACTTTAAATTGTATATTCATTCTTATAATCGACATTTATTGTTGTCGAGTAAAAGGATAAAACATGAAACCATTGCATTTCTGAAGAATTTAAAATAAATTCTTTGAATTTGACAGCTTATTATTAAAAATTACTAATAGTTACAAAGTTGGAAATAAACACAAAATTAAGCCTATATACTAGACTTTAAATTGGGTCTTCATTCTTGTAATTGGCATTTGTTGTTGTCGAGTAAAACGATTAAACATGAAAACTTTGCATTTTTGGAGAATTGAAAAAACGTTCTTCGAATTTGACAGTTTATTATTCAAAATCGTTAATAGTTACAAAGTTGTAAAGAATCACATATTAAAGCCAGTATATTTGACTTCAACTTGTATATTCGTTCTTATAATTTACATGCGTCGTTGTCAAGTAATACAATAAAACGTGAAGACATTGCATTTTTTGATAAATTCATTTTTTTAAATTTTGACAGCTTATTATTTATAAACAGATATAGTTACAAATATGTAAAGAATCACAGATAAAAGCCTATATATTTGACACTAGTTATTTATATAATTGATATCTACTGTTATCAATTAATATAATAAAACGTGAAGACATTGCATTTTTAGAGAATTGAAAAAAATGCTCTTCGATTTTGACAGATTATTATTCGAAATCGTTAATAGTTACACAGGTGAAAATAAACACAAATTATAGTCTATATATTAGACTTTAAATTGCACATTATAATGGACATTCGTTGTTGTCGAGTAAAAGGATATAACATGAAAACATTGCATTTTTGAAGAATTTAAAAAAATGTTCTTTGAATTTGACAGCTTATTATTCAAAATCGCTAATAGTTACAAAGTTGGAAATAAACACAAAATTAAGCCTATATACTACACTTTAAATTGGGTCTTCATTCTTATAATTGGCTTTTGTTGTTGTCGAGTAAAACGATTAAACATGAAAACATTGCATTTTTGGAGAATTGAAAAAATGTTCTTCGTTTTTGACAGTTTATTATTCAAAATCGTTAATAGTTACAAAGTTGTAAAGAATAATAATAAATATTAAAGCCAGTATATTTGACTTTAACTTGTATATTCATTCTTATAATTGACATGCGTTGTTTTCAAGTAATACAATAAAACGTGAAGACATTGCATGTTTTTGTAAATTCATTTTTTTTTTCAATTTTGATAGCTTGTTAATCAAAACCTGTGATAGCCACAAATTTGTTAATAAGCACAAATGAAAATGAGTATATTTTTATAATTGGCATAATTTGGTTTGAAGTAAAGTATTCATTCTTACAATTACAATAATTTATACTTATTACATAATAAAAATGTGAATGATGAAAATTGCTCTTTTATTAATAAATATAACAAAACTATTGTTTCTCAGAGCAAATGAAGGCAATTTATTTGTGTATGCAAAATGTTCAACGAAATATTTATGAATCGTCTGAAAAGCTGAAGCGAAAGAAATAAATGTTGCTAAGTTTTTCATCGCCTTTCAAAATTCGTTCACCGTGCGTTTCGAAAATTCACCTTCACTCTGTGTTGTGCTGTTTACTAACTGACACGTATATATTTTATTATTTCCGTGGATTCCCTTTTCTTCCGTGAATTAGCAAAAACCTGTAAAAATGTGTAACGTCCGGTGCATGAATTTTCTTATACTTTTATATTGGATTCTTTCCTCCTTGTTTTTGTTTTTGTGAGTATATCATGCAATTTTTCGAAATTGATGATTCAACTGTATTTTTTTTTCAGTATGTATCATGTTGCATTCAGGATAATCAGAAGAGGGAATCCATTCGACGATGAGTAGGAAAGGCGTTACATGCCGTAGGATTTTAAAAATGCTGAAATCATTAGCTTCTTGATGTCAAATCAAAATGTTGATGTTTCAATAAATCTTGCAGCAATGTCAAAACCCAACCGAAAACCTAAAAATTATCTTTTATTTCATCCTTTGCGTGTCCATTTCTTCTTTACAGATAAAACGCATCGAGCCGAAATAGAAAATAAATAAAACAGGTAATAATTTAATATTATTTTTTAGATAGAAAATCGACTTGATGAATCTCTACCAAGATTCGTTTCTTTTGCTCTACTACTTTCAATATCTAAGCACGAACATCTTCGCTGTAAGAAGTAACTTCAAAAGAAGCAATATGAGGGGATTCCTAATTACAAATTAAAGCCTATACATTAGACTTTAAATTGAATATTGTCATAAGTTGCTGTCGAGAAATACCATAAAACGTGAAGATTAAAATAAATTGTTTTTCAATTTATATTATTCAAAACCTATAACAGCTACAAATTTGACAGGTTTTCAAATTTAAAATTTCCTTTCCGAGACTCACCCCAGTCCAATTGCAATGAACCGCAGAGTCCCGGTTTGAACATTGTCTTTGTGTGTTCTGGCCTCTTGTTATAATACATATCTACATATGACCACTGGGCGGTAGCTGGCGAAATTGTGCTTGACACAAACTAATTGTAGGGAGTGGAGGTTTAATAAAAGAAGAAATTTGACAGCACATATTTTCAAATTGGATAGCTTTTCAAATTTTATAGCTTATTATTCAAAATCGCTAACAGTTTCAAAGTTGGAAATAAAGACAAATTAAAGCTCGTTTATTGGATGTTGAACAGACATTGCATTTTTGGAAAATTACAAAAATGTTTTCCAATTTTAACAACTTATTATTCAAAAACTATGATTGCTACAAAATTGACTATAAATACAAATTAAAGCTTGTATATTTTACTTTGAATTGAGTATTAATTCTAATAATTAACATAAGTTACTGTCGAGTAATACGATAAAATGTGAAGACATTGCATTTTTGGAATATTTAACAAAATGTTTATCAATTTTGAAAGCTTATTATTCATAAACAGATACAGTTACAAATATGAAAATAAATACAGATTAAAGCCTATATATTTGACATTAACTTGCATATTCATTCTTATAATTGACATTCACTGGCTTATTATTTAAAATCGCTAACAGTTACAAAGTTGGAAATAAAGACAAATTAAACCCTGTATTTTGGATGTTTAACAGACATTGCATTTTTGGAAAATTACAAAAATGTTTTCCAATTTTAACAACTTATTATTCAAAAACTGTGATAGCTACGAAATTGACTATAAATACAAATGAAAGCTTGTATATTTGACTTTGAATTGAGAATTAATTCTAATAATTGACATAAGTTACTGTCGAGTAATACGATAAAATGTGAAGACATTGCATTTTTGGAATATTTAACAAAATGTTTATCAATTTTGACAGCTTATTATTCATAAACAGATACAGTTACAAATATGAAAATAAATACAGATTAAAGCCTATATATTTGACATTAACTTGCATATTCATTCTTATAATTGACATTCACTGGCTTATTATTTAAAATCGCTAACAGTTACAAAGTTGGAAATAAAGACAAATTAAACCCTGTATTTTGGATGTTTAACAGACATTGCATTTTTGGAAAATTACAAACATGTTTTCCAATTTTAACAACTTATTATTCAAAAACTGTGATAGCTACGAAATTGGCTATAAATACAAATGAAAGCTTGTATATTTGACTTTGAATTGAGTATTAATTCTAATAATTGACATAAGTTACTGTCGAGTAATACGATAAAATGTGAAGACATTCCATTTTTGGAATATTTAACAAAATGTTTATCAATTTTGACAGCTTATTATTCATAAACAGATACAGTTACAAATATAAAAATAAATACAAATTAAAGCCTATATATTTGACATTAGCTTGCATATTCATTCTTATAATTGACATTTGCTGTTATCAAGTAATGCAACAAAACGTGAAGACATTGCATTTTTTTGATAAATTAATTTTTTTTTCTATTTTGACAGCTTATTATTAATAAACAGATATAACTACAAGTATGGAAATAATCACATATTAAAGCCTATATATTTGACATTAAATTGAATATTCATTCATGTAATTTACATGCGTTGTTATCAAGTAATACAATGAAACGTGAAGACATTGCATTTTTTTGTAAATTCAATTTTGACAGCTTGTTATTCAAAACCTGTGATAGCCACAAATTTGACAATAAAGACAATTGAAAATAAGTATATTCTTATAATTGACATTTATTACTGTTGAGTGAAAAGTGAAGACATTGCATTTTTTGAAGAATTAAAAAAAAGTGTATTTCAATTTTGACCACTCATTATGCAAAACTGGTAATTGATACAAATTTGAAACTATACATAAATTAAAGCCTACATATTTGATTTCAATTGGAGTATTCATTATTACAATTAGTATACGATAACATGTGAAACTATTTAGACTTATTAAATATTTGTAATTAAAAATGTGAATGATAAAAATTGCTCGTTTATTAATAAATATAACAAAACTGTTATTTCTCAAAGCAAATGAAGACAATTTATTTGTGTATGCAAAATGTTCAACGAAATATGTGTGAATCGTCTGAAAAACTGAAGCAAAAGAAACGTTGCTAACTTTTTCATCGCCTTTCAAAATTCGTTCACCGTGCGTTTCTAAAATTCACGTTCATTCTTTGTTGTGTTTGTATATGACAACTATCTTTTTTTTTATTATTTCACTGATTTCCCTTTTCTCCCGTAGCTTAGAACAATCTGGGAAAAATGTGTAACGACAGGTGCGCATATTACGTTATACTAGTATATTGCATTGGTTCCATCTTTATTTGCTTTTAGTGAGTATAAGAATCATGAAATTTTTCGAAATTGATCATTCTGTTTGTTTTTATTGTTCCAGTATGTATGAAGTTCTATTAGGGATATTGAGAGGGGAGATTCCATTCCACGATCTGTAGGAAAGGCGCTTCATGCCGTAAGATTTTAAAAATGTTGAAATCATTAGCTTCTTGATGTCAATCAAAATGTTGATCTTTCAATAAATCTTACAGCAATGTAAAAACCCAACCCAAAAGCTAAAAATTGTCTTTTATTTCATCCTTTGAGAATTGAAAATTACAAAACAACGTATTTGCACGTTCATTTCTTCTTTACAGATAAAACTAATAGAGGTGAAATAGAAAAAAACAATGAAACAGGTAACAATTTAACAATTTATTTTTAGATGTTGAATCTCTACCAAGATTTGTCCCTTTTACTCTACAACTTTCAACATCTACACACGAACATCTTCGTTGTAAGAAGTAACTTCATAAGAAGCAATAGTGTATAGAGTATAATACTATAAAACGTGAAGACTATACATTTTTTTATAAATTCATTTTTTTTTTCAATTTTGACATCTCATCATTCATAAACAAATACAGCTACAAATATGGAAATAATCACATATTAAAGCCTATATATTTGACATTAACTTGAATATACATTCTTATAATTGACATCCGCTGTTATCAAGTAATGCAATGAAACGTGAAGACATTGCATTTTTTGGTATATTTTTTTTTTCAATTTTGACATCTCATCATTCATAAACAGATACAGCTACACATATGAAAACAATCACAGATTAAAGCCTATATATTTGACATTAACTTGAATATCTATTTTTATAATTGACATGCGCTATTATCAAGTAATACAATGAAACGTGAAGACATTGCATTTTTTGGTAATTTTTTTTTGCAATGTTGACATCTCATCATTCATATACAAATACAGCTACAAATATGAAAACAATCACATATTAAAGCCAGTATATTTGACATTAACTTGAATATTCATTCTTATAATTGACAGCCGTTGTTATCAAGTAATACAATGAAACGTGAAGACGTTGCATTTTTTGGTAATTTTTTTCAATTTTGACATCTCATCATTCATAAACAAATACAGCTACAAATATGGAAATAATAACATATTAAAGCCAGTATATTTGACATTAACTTGAATATTCATTATTATAATTGATATGCGCTGTTATCAAGTAATACAATGAAACGTGAAGACATTGCATTTTTTGATATTTTTTTTTCAATTTTGACATCTCAACATTCATAAACAGATACAGCTACAAATGTGGAAACAATCACAGATTAAAGCCAGTATATTTGACATTAACTTGAATATTCATTATTATAATTGACATGCGCTGTTATCAAGTAATACAATGAAACGTGAAGACATTGCATTTTTTGATATTTTTTTTTTCAATTTTGACATCTCATCATTCATAAACAGATACAGCTACAAATATGGAAACAATCACATATTAAAGCCAGTATATTTGACATTAACTTGCATATTCATTCTTATAATTGACATCCGCTGTTATCAAGTAATACAATGAAACGTGAAGACATTGCATTTTTTGTTTTTTTTTTTTCAATTTTGACATCTCATCATTCATAAACAGATACAGGTACAAATATGGAAACAATCACATATTAAAGGCAGTATATTTGATATTAACTTGCATATTCATTCTTATAATTGACATCCACTGTTATCAAGTAATACAATGAAACGTGAAGACATTGCATTTTTTGGTATTTTTTTTTTTTCAATTTTGACATCTCATCATTCATAAACAGATACAGCTACAAATATGGAAACAATCACATATTAAAGCCAGTATATTTGACATTAACTTGCATATTCATTCTTATAATTGACATGCGATGTTATCAAGTAATACAATGAAACGTGAAGACATTGCATTTTTTGGTAATTTTTTTTTGCAATTTTGACATCTCAACATTCATAAACAGATATAGCTACACATATGGAAACAATCACAGATTAAAGCCTATATACTTGACATTAACTTGAATATTCATTCTTATAATTGACATGCGTTGTTATCAAGTAATACAATGAAACGTAAAAACATTGCATTTTATGGTTTTTTTTTTCAATTTTGACAACTCATCATTTATAAACAGATACAGCTACAAATATGGAAACAATCACAGATTAAAGCCAGTATATTTGACATTAACTTGAATATTCATTCTTATAATTGACAATCATTATTGTGGAGTAATATGATTAAACGTGAAGGCATTGCATTTATGAAGAATTGAAAAAGTTTTTCAAATTTGACCACACATTATGCAAAACTGGTAATTTATACACATTTGTAAATGTACGTTAATTGAAGCCTATATATTTGATTTCAAGTGGATTATTCATTCTTACAATTAGTATGCATTGTTGTTGTAATTATACGATAAAATGTGAAACAATTTATACTTATTACATATTTGTAATTACAAATGTGAATGATGAAAATTTATTAATAAATGTAACAAAACTATTATGTCTCAAAGCAAATTAAAACAATTTATTTGTATATGCAAAATGTTCAACAAAATATTTATGAATCGTCTGAAAAAAACTGAAGCAAAAGAAATAAACGTTGCTAACTTTTTCATCGCCTTTCAAAATTCGTTCATCGTGCGTTTCCTAAATTCACGTTCACTCCATGTTGTGTTTGTATATGACAAGTATCTTTTTTATTAATTCACTGGTTTCTCTTTTCTCCCGTAGCTTAGAACAATCTGGGAAAAATGTGTGTCGAAAGGTGCGTATATTTGATTTTGCTTGTATATTGCATTGGTACCATCTTTCTTTGCTATAAGTGAGTATAAAAATTATGCAATTTTTCAAAATTGATCATTCTGTTTTCTTTTTGTTGTTGTTCCAGTATGTATCAAGTTCTATTCGGGGCAAAGAGAAAAGAGATTCCATTCCATGATGAGTAGGAAAGGCGCTTCATGCCGTAGGATTTTAAAAAAATGATGAAATCATTAGCTTCTTGATGTCAATCAAAATGTTGATCTTTCAATAAATCTTACAGCAATGTAAAAACCCAACCCAAAAGCTAAAAAATGTCTTTTATTTCATTCTTTGAGATTTTCAAATTACAAGAAAACCGTATTTGCACGTTCATTTCTTCTTTACAGATAAAACGCATAGAGGCGAAATAGAAAAAAAAAATAGGTAACAATTTAATAATTTATTTTTAGATGTTGAAGATTTGTCCCGTTTGCTCTACAACTTTCAACATCTACACACGAACATCTTTGCTGTAAGATGTAACTTCAAAAGAAGCAATATAAACGGATTCCTAATTACAAATTAAAGCCTATACATTAGACTTTAAATTGAATATGTGTCATAAGTTGCTGTCGAGTAATACTATAAAACGTGAAGACTATACATTTTTGGAGGATTAAAATAAATTGTTTTTCAATTTCGTCAACTTATTATTATTCAAAACCCATAAAAGCTACTATTTGACAATAAACACAAATTTGACAGCTTTTTAAATTTGACAGCTTATTATTCAAAATCGATAATAGTTACAAAGTTGAAAATAAACACAAATTAAAGCCTGTATATTGATTGTTGAATTGAGTATTCCTTCATATAATTGACATGCGTTATTGTCGAGAAATACAATAAAACATGATAGCTACAAATTTGACAATAAACACAAATTTGACAGCTTTTCAAATTTGACAGCTTATTATTCAAAATCGATAATAGTTGCAAAGTTGAAAACAAACACAAATTAAAGCCGGTATATTGGATGTTGAATTGAGTATTCCTTCATATAATTGACATTCGTTGTTGTCGAGTAAACAATAAAACATGACAGCTACAAATTTGACAATAAACACAAATTTGACAGCTTTTCTAAGATGACAGCTTTTCAAATTAGACAGCTTATTATTCAAAATCGATAATAGTTACAAAGTTTAAAATAAACACAAATTAAAGCCTGTATATTGATTGTTGAATTGAGTATTCCTTCATATAATTGACATGCGTTATTGTCGAGAAATACAATAAAACATGATAGCTACAAATTTGACAATAAACACAAATTTGACAGCTTTTCAAAGTTGACAGCTTTTCAAATTTGACAGCTTATTATTCAAAATCGATAATAGTTACAAAATTAAAAATAAACACAAATTAAAGCCTGTATATTGATTGTTGAATTGAGTATTCCTTCATATAATTGACATGCGTTATTGTCGAAAAATACAATAAAACATGATAGCTACAAATTTGACAATAAACACAAATTTGACAGCTTTTCAAATTTGACAGCTTATTATTCAAAATCGATAATAGTTACAAAGTTAAAAATAAACACAAATTAAAGCCTGTATATTGATTGTTGAATTAAGTATTCCTTCATATAATTGGCATTCGTTGTTGTCAAGTAATACAATTAAACATGACAGCTACAAATTTGACAATAAACACAAATTTGACAGCTTTTCAAATTTGACAGCTTATTATTCAAAATCGATAAAAGTTACAAAGTTGAAAAAAAAAACACAAATTAAAGCCTGTATATTGGATGTTGAATTGAGTATTCCTTCATATAAATGACATGCGTTATTGTCGAGTAATACAATAAAACGTGATAGCTACAAATTTGACAATAAACACAAATTTGACAGCTTTTCAAAGTTGACAGCTTATTATTCAAAATCGATAATAGTTACAAAGATGAAAATAAACATAAATTAAAGCC